TTTTGCTTGCTGGAACTGAAAAATTCACATTTTGAATTTCTAGCGGAATGACTTATTTCTCTCTGAAGCTCTAATTCCACCAAATAAAGTAATTTAAATTGACAAGATCAAAAGTCAAAATCTCCCCACTCCTCTCCGTATTCGCTCTCTATAAAAGACAGATGTATTTGGGAAGCAACCCAACAACAATCACCCGCTGACAAGCTTGATGACTCACGCTTTCCAGGTTTTGTACAAAAGCAAACTGCTAATCGCGAGTTTGACTCCCTGGTATTTTTGAAAAATCTGCGAAAAGCCGGCAAAGAAGAAATCATAAAAAAATTCTTCACTATCTAAGAAAGGCAGACAAAAAAGAAGATGCGTGCTATTTAAAAGGGAAATATTAGAAGTGATTCCAAGATTGGACACAAAACACCAGAGCTGGCAGTACAGCCGGTCTGGCGCGTTGCGTCTAGATGTAAAGACTAGCGCAACGATTTTCTTCGAATTCATGTCTGTTTCTAGAAGAGGGCTCCGTCCAAGATAGATATATAATTAATATTTGCAAGGGTACTAGTTCACCACTGATTGGTGTAGTTCAGTGCATAAAAGTGAGAACGAAAACTTAATAATTGACCAGCGCACCGACTGCTTCTCGAGAATACGCGTTTTTGCATTGCATAGGTGCAAAAAACGCAAAAAAACTTCTCCTCAATCGTCGGTTCTTATAAAGCTAATTATTGCTTAAGAATTTTCATTAATCGTTGACAGCCAGAAGATAACTCATAAACTGTATTGTTTCAGGTGCGTAGTTTTACCGAAATTTACTATTTGCGGTAAAAATCAAAGCAGTTTCATAAAATTTCCAATGCTGATAATCTTGAAATGCAATAACCTATTTCCATGTTTCAACTTGTCAAGTTCGCTGACAATTTCTTTCAAATCTCTTTTTGTCCTTTCACGACCAAGAGGTCCTGGCGTTCCGCCCGGACTTGATCTGCAAGCTTTTACGTTCAGCGTCTTTAAAAATATGGAATTTACGTACTGCAGACAGGGGCGCTGGTACTATAGTTACGATCCCATACGAGCAATATTATCAAAACAGTGTAAGTCAGCAAGATTTGAACTGGTCCCGCAAGCAGTAATGAGAGACAACAGATGGACATGACAAATAATTGGGTGTTTCCAGAGCAATGTTAAAAGATCGCAAAGAATTGATGGTATACTTCACAATAACTTTTTTTAGCTTGCACTTTTCTCTAAGATAAACAAGACTTCGATTTTCGACCTGCCCCAATCCGTTTTAACAAGAATATTACACCACAGAAAAAAGTATGTATACGCTAAGTTCAGGGGCCATCTCTCAGATTGTATAACAAAGTTAGTCTTAATTTTGAGCATAAATGTATTTTGCCAAAGAGGTTAACTTTCACTAAGTCTGAAAAATAGAGAATTCTGAAAGTCATGTTTAAAAACAGCTTTGTAATCAGTCAAGACTATATTGTAAGGCTTCATCCCCCTCCCCTCTCTCGTCCCCGTATCCTGATCAGGTAGCTCTTCCATTGGCTTGTTCAAAAGAGTAAATTTCCCAGGGTATAATTTTTTTTTAAAAACCGTCTCCTGCTTATAAAAGAAAATCACACGATTAAGTGTGCTAAACCTCGGGTCTACAAGTATTATATTATCGACAAAATAAACACATCACATAAAATACAGAACTAGCCAAATATTTTACGAGACACAAATAAGGTGTTCGGCTAGTATTTGTAAATTGCTCGTTCTACTTCCTACTGAAACTCAATTCTTTGAATTGCTGAAACTTATTACTGTTGCCTTCGACGATTTCGCCTGTAATTAATGCTTCTCTTGGACATGATTCGAGCCTCGCGCCGTCGCCTTTCAAAAAGTTACCAAAGTGCAGCGCAGAACAAGACTATTAAAAACAGTCAGTAATACAAAATGAGTAAAAATGAGGATTTTGCAATGATCCAACCTATTTATAAAATCTGAAGCATGCGAATTTTGCATTTTGCAAATTTCATGATTGTCTTCAGACGTTCTTCAAATTTGCATTTTTTTCAGTGAAGAGCATTCATTTGAAAAGGGACCGGACTACATGCAAATCCAGGCTGAAACTGTAGTTTAACACTGGTTGGGGAGAAAGTGTTAAACTACAGCCTAGGGACCATTCCTGCTGTTAGCGATTTGCAAGTTTAGCGCGAAGGCACATGATCACACCAGCAAGTCTAATGCTTTCTAACCTGGGTTTGTTCGCTCATCTGAATGCAGAGGGTGGATTAGCAGTCGATGGTTTTCGATTATCGAATTGGAGGACGCTCCGGATCTTAATCAGCGGTGTACTAGTAGCCGTTTCTAGTATTCAAACTTTCAGGACCATTAATGTTGGGATAAATCAAATTTTGAAATTCTGACTTTCCCCTTCTTGATCTATAATTGAATTCGGAATTTTTTCTGAAAACAAACGCAACGGAATTTAATGAGCTAAAAATTGTTTTCAAACATATGACTCCGAATGCGGACCACTTGAAAAATCTGAGATTTCCCTCATTTTTGAGTTAAACTATTTGGGCAAGTAATTCTCAATATATCTAACCCTACGTGATATTTTTTTCTCAATTTTACACGCTCTCACATCCAAAAGCCTCTTCTCTAACGTTCACTCTCTTTGAGAAGCAGAAATACTGAAGATGCGCAATTGGTATCCTGTACAGGCAGCAATCGCTAGTTGGCAAATCTGTCAATGTTCATTTTTTTGAGGGTTGATTAGAAGTAAGCTGACAGTGGGTTTGGATGCTTTGACAAACTCTACTACTAATTTCATTAAAAGGAATGAACGTATCTTAGAGATATTGGTTTTCTCACTGGCGGACTGAACCTTTGATCTTCTGCACGAGAATATTCCTACTTACCACTGTGCCATGATCGTCAGCTTTCACGTGAAAATGTAGCGGGAAGTCGCTCCAATAAAATCATTTTTATTAACCCTATCATACTGCATCAATAATTGAAAACCAGCGTAGTAAAATACAGTGAAAATTAGCTAATTTTTTATAAAATTCATTCAATTTCACAAATAGCTCCGTACACCCCACATTTTTTACATATCCACTCCCAAATTCCGTTTCTTGCCGGAATCATTACCACAAAGTCCTCTTTGCAGCCACCGGCTGGTTTCGCTTCATCCCAATTGCTGTAATCGTACGGTTCTCCATCTGCCCAGACATATTTGCCACCAACTAATTTCAGCCCAATGAATAATCGCAATGCTGAATACTGCGATTCCAATGCCAAATCTTAAAAAAAAAATTCGGAATCAGAGTTGGATCATCTTTAAAACAAGTTAGAACTGAAACCAACTGAACAGAGTAAGTTTAAATCCAATTGATGTAAAATTAAATTGGTTCAAAATTTGAATTTGATCAAATTGAAATGAAACAAATTAAACCAGTTTAAAATGAAGTTAGATCAAAATTCCAATTTATTTGAACTGAGCCAGTCGAGTCAATTTGAAATGAATTAGTTCCAAGATTAATTGATTCGAATTGATAGAAACGAATTACTATGGACGACGATTAGTAAACGCAACTTAGGGTAAGAACTGCAACTTCTTATTCAGAAACTGTTATTTGTTCGGTTTGAAAGTAAGGGAGAATTTCCAATACGAAAAAACAGCTTTCGCGAAAGTCCCCTTCCATTCTTGTGCCCCTCCCCCTCTTCCTCTCCTCCACCAGGAGCTCCACTCTCCCCTCTCCCTCCCCACCTCCCATCGTCCCCTTACATCGCTGGAAGTTCGTCTTGGACCAGCCTATGTTTTTAAAAGATAAAAACTGATACTAGAGATGAATTCGTTTTCGGCTGGCGAATCAACTGAAGAGATGTGTGCGCCAATTTCCTTGCATTTGTTTTCTGCATCCTCGTAATTCATTGGCTTTTCCTGAGCTATCACCTGTAAGCAAACCCATTACTGATTGCCCGCGTGGGAAGACAACTTAGCAATGTGCCACGTGATTCGTGCAGCATAATAAAAAAAGATGACCAGTGTTTCCAAGCCTGTTATAGCATAGACTAACCGCACAGCTTAATTTGCAATAATAAACATTAAAAATAAAGTTAATGGAAAAACACCATATGCACCGGGCTGACACACTTGACAATAGCCCGTGTTTCATCCCTTAACTGTAAACACAAACAACGCTAGCATCGCAGCCGATGCCCTTTTCCTTCGCATGCAAGAAAAGACCAAGACACAGGTATATGAGCTGCACGTGTTAAACAGTAAAGCAGCAACCATTCATACTGTTAACGACCTGACTGCGTCAAGTTTAACGCAAGGACAGAATCGCACGAGCAGGCAGAATAGAACGGATGGGTGGGGACAGAAATCATCAGTACAACCTTCCATGCGCCGTAATGGGCATAATTAAATTTGCCAAGTTAGGAATTCAGTTTTACCAGTGCATTTGACTGCGCCGGCAAAAAAATTTTAGTTGAGCCTCATTTCTATTTCCCCGCTATTTTTCTTATACGTAATATTTTCCATAAGGAAGCGAGCTCCGAAAACAGACTCACTTCATGTTCAGATTTATCTCCAGATTCTACTTCACCATCTCTTTTTCAAAGAATGATTTTGTTAACAGAAAGAATTTTTCTTCAGCTACAAAAGTATTTCTTTGGGGCTAAAGAGTCGATCTTTGAGGAAATACTCGTTTTCAGCTTTCGTCCTGTACTACCGTCTTTTTTTTTCAACTTATTGAATCTTCCTTTCGTAGTTAGCAAGATACCTCAGCGTAGCCAAGAAGAGGCAACATTCTAGGTGAAATGATGGTGCCTAATATATATCAAATTCATCTCAAAGCGGCTAAAGTCTTGTCAAGTGTTTCCATCTGGAAAATCGTTGTGCTGACAGTCCTTTCAAGAGACAAAACGAATGTCAAAATCTCCACCAGCTTTGCCACTCGGCGATAATACAGCACTGGTTAAAGTAGATAGAAAGGTTACCAGCTGCACAGTTTCGACAACCAGACCGTGAACCGTAACTGATCAAAGTACTGAGTTTAAAGCATGCGACTTTTTTCGATGCCTTTTGAATTTTTTTTCGCTTTTTCGTGCCATTTTTTTATTGCCACAGAAAAAAAAAACAGCTCCTTTTCGTTTAGGACTTTCTGAGTGTTTAGCTTATTTTCTGATTTATGCTGATGCGATTTTGGGCCTGTCCAAGCGGACCTTGGCGATTTACGAGACAAGTTAAAGCAGCGACGAGAAA